AGCGTTAATAGTTTTCGTTTTATTGGCAAATCAAAAGGGTCAGTTACTTCTGAGACACCCTGTAGAAGCCGTACGCCTCTCTAGTAAGGAATGTGGTCCCCTTGATCTACTACTCCTATATAGATCAAGGAGAGTAGAAATGAGACCCATCACATAGGATTTCCTCGCTTAGCATCATTTAAAAAATCAAAAAAATACTCTGCACAACTTGAGAAGTAAAACTTACTTTTTCCGCCGTGGACAACGACCGCACGTAATTTGGCGTATTAGAGTGACGACTGTTCAGTTTGTTGAGGAAACTCTCATCCGTACCCTGGGGAAAACGGCTTTCCTCGTCAATGAGTGATAGTATGTTGAGTGGACGATATGCAATCAAGTCCAGTACTTCCTGATTGTCCTGGAAATTTATGTGCGTCCAGTTGATGTTTTCAGCCAAATACTCCTCCTGCTCGAGCTTGAAGATGTGCTTGACAAAATACTGCTGGATATTTTCGTTGGCGTAATTGATGCAGAGCTGTTCAAAGCTAGAAATAGGACAAAATGTCTGGACAACCAGGTAGAACGCAGACTTAGTGTGTCCGAAACTGCTTGTCTTCACTTATTGATGTGCTTAGTAGAAAACAAACTAGTGAACTAATTTTTACGGCCCAAAATTCCAGCTATGACGAAAGTGAAGGCCAAACCGCCTGACCAAAAATAGATAAAATTCCGTGCCGTTTGATAAGAGCGGGCCATTTGAATTTCTGATCTAGTGGTGCGCTGAGAAGGAAACGCTTGTACGTCAAATTCTGTGTTGGAACCTGTCTGTTTACAAAGTCTTTTTAAAATTTAAAGTAAGATATTCGCCAAAGCTGTTCCCTGAGAAAGTCGAATCAACGAATTTCCTCTCGTCACATTTACCGCCACCGAAAAATCAAGACTTACACGAGATCTTCGGGTCTCAATATCCACAAGTCGACCGATCGAAAGGTATTTATTCGAGATTTGGGCAGTGAGGCCCTGGGTTTTTCTTGGGCAAATGTGGCGGATTAGATTACCTGCTTTCTCTTCTTCTAAGTTGTTGGGATTTTGCATGTTGATATCCTTTACCAGCACTCGATTTAAATTGATATCGTTCCCAATCGCAAGAGCAGCAGACACCATAATCACTGAAGAATAGCGTGCTCTCCCTTCTTAATGCGAACAAAAATTTGGTAAGAGTGGCGATCAAGTACGGTGGCACTTCCCGATTGATTTCTTCTCAAAGGTAAATATGGCCGCCACCCGCTGATCTGCTAAACAGTACCGGAACCGAATGAGCTAATTTTCTCGGGTATCAAAAGCAATAGCTTTTAGAATAGATGTTTCCAACAGCCTCAAACAGTCGACTGGTGCGTGGGAGAGGGAAGGGAGCTGGAGGTCGATAGTGGGAAATCCATCCCCACGGCAAATCAGCGCAATCCCCATTGCAATAAGGCTGAGGCGCTATCAGCGATGACTTAGAAGTTTGCCGACTGAGGAGATAGCTCAGTTCTCACGGTGAGTATAATGGATTAGTTAGCGGAATAGCAATAAGGCTGCCCTGTTTTCTTCTCAACGTGTTTTTCATGTCGTTCTCATATATATCAGATGGGACTTGCCCTATCGGTAGTTTTGTGCATATATTGGGGGCGGGTCGCGTGTGACAGGCGTATACGGACCGTTTACCTTTGTCAGCCGATATTTCGACCACCGGTTTCGATTATGTCCACCGTGCGCTCCACAACAGGGTGGCGCAGGGGCGGCGACCTGCGCGTGGATTAGTTTTAAGTGATAGTAGACTTGCGCAGCATATACCACACTCTCTCCTCCCTCGTCCACCTGTGTTTGGTGTCAAGACAGATCCAAGAAGACCGGAGGCGGGATCGGGCGCACGTCGGCGGCGCGGCCGAAGCCACTCCTATGCGTGCCACTACGCCCGCTCCCCTCGTGTTCGGCATTTTTTATGAGAGCGTAACCCGAATAACGCCTGCCATACCCTGATCTGACCCCCGTCTTGGTCTAGCACGTCTATCACGCGGCCCGTTTAGGGAGTTGACAAAATGGAACTTTTGGCAGCCACTAGGTTGCACTCACCACCCGGTCGCCTTGAAATTATCTTGCCATCAAGGCAAGGCGGCAGAAGGAGGGGATACATAGTGCGGCAGATGTGGCGCAACCTTCGGTCACTATAAAGTCATTCACGCGTAAATCGCCAGTGCTGCATCTTGCCCCTGGTGCACCCGACAGGCGCCATCGCTTTTCGCAATTGAAATCTTACGTCCAACACAAAGACTAAGCCCGATCATCGCACTCGACAACAACCAACACTGTTCCGAGGAAGTAGCGAAAACTCCGTTGTAAGTTGTAATATCGCGAACGGCATTTATACACCTTCGACCTCCTTCCTCTTCTCACACTAAATAGCTGTTAAATTTTAAGCCAAATTAAACTTCGAGCAGTTGATCTACTATAAAGTATTCGTTTACACATGACATCCACGGTTATGGAGCTATCGGGGCTCCTTGTAATCCGTATCGACAGATACTTGGGATAAGAATTTATGGACGAGTTGATGTGAGAAACGCAAGAAGAAATGCGGCTGCTGCACACAGTACTTATATCTCGGAATCGATCATTTTGATTTTTACACAGTCTACTAAAAACGGTAGCTTAGAACTTTTTGAAGAAATTTTTTACATGACCAACCTGTTTTTACTGA